TATATTAATTTATTATTTTAGTTGTAGTCAGAATGAAATTCTTCATAGAACATTATAACATGCATTATATATGCGTATATATATATATATATATATACTTATAGAGAGAAAAAATGTGTTAAATTTTCTAGAGAATTAAATAATCGTCCTTTTCAAGACGAAAAAGTATGTAAAGTAAATCACTGGTTATAATAACTGCATCATTCAAATAATTGATAATATATAATCGTTATAATAATTGTCTCGTTCAAGTAAGAGTTTTTGCGTCCTTTTCAGGACAATAATTGTAGAAAGTATGCTTAAGTATAGCAACTGAAACTATAATCAGTATGATAAATCAAAATCGATTTTGTATTTTCTTTTTCTTTATCGTAAGAAACAATATATTGTCAAGAACGTAATTATATCGATAAAGCTAAAATAGTGAAACAGTAAGATTGTCGTAAGTTTGCATGCTGAATAAACATCTTTTTCATGGTGATAAGTAATTTACATGTAAAGGGCCAGGAAGTGTAAAAAAGTATCATTAAATATAAAACTAATGAATTAGTGAAGTGCTTTATACATAAACCGACTGTAGAACATGATTAAATCTAGCCATTTACCATAATTTTAGATGAGCCCCCTCCTCGAATGACTCACTAGAAAGTTATTCATCAATACAAGAACAGTGATAAATCGTGTTTGGTGTGATCATAAAAAAGTTTTTTCCCTAAGATACATCCCTCAAATGGTTGCCTTGAAAGCCTATTGGTTAATACATCCCTGAGCGTAATATTTGATTTTAGTAGTTTCAGTTGCTCTATTCAGTTTGTGTTTGCTTAAACGTTGTTTGTAATATCCAATTTAAACGTTGTTTAAGTCGGATTTTGTCAGCATGATAATACTATATACAAGACATAATAAAGCTCTTTGTTCCCTTACAGCTATATCTCTCTGTCCAATAATTTGTAAAAAAAATCAAAATTTAACGAACACTTGTCCATAAAATGTTTACAGAAAAATAAGTGTTTATTTCTCGCTCTTAAAACAAAACATCGATCAATCTACTACGGTGAAGATTAAGCCAACAACGTCACTAACGGTTTTCAAAGTTCTTTTTTTGAAGATCCAACAACTTAAAATCATGCAAGCAAGCGGAGTCAATATCTCGTTAGCATACTGTTGTAATTTTAATAAAAATTAGAAGTGGGTCAGCGGTATGTTTATGTTCTTACAACGCTAAAACCCGGGGTTCGATTCCTGTGGTGGACAGAGCACAGGTAGCCTCTTGTGTAGCTTTGCGCTAAAGCAATAAAAATGAGAAGAAACTGCACTGGCGAGTGGTGCTCTCCTGCCAAGCGTTTCGAAGTACAAACAGTCTTCAGTCATTTCTTTGAGTTCTCATTTAAACATAAAAGTTTGTAAACTTATTTAATGTTGTCACTTCAACACTTTGAACATCTAGAAATTTATTATCCATGGTGATGTTAAGCCGCTTTTTTCTTACTTTGTTTACAATAAGACGTAAATTGATAGGTGAAAGCAAACCTTCTTGAACTATGGATACGTTAGAAACAGTTGGAACTACTCGGGCCATGGGAGAACTCTAGAAAATTAATGGAGAATTTGCTAATGAAATATACATTCAATGAGAAGCAGTCCATCATATTGTACCATATATCATGAAAACATTAGTGTAATAAGCATCTTTATCTCACTCGAAAGCCCTCTGATGGCTGAATGGTAAGTCAGTGAGCTTATAACGCTGAAAGCACAGGTAACCCATTGTATAGCTTTATGCTTTACAAACTCGTTCGAAAAGAGTGCGCGTTTTTGAAAAAAATTATAAGTTTATATCATTATTATATGATTGTGCATTTGATATTGTTTATAAAGAGTTTACTTATAAAAAAAGCTGTCTTATTTCTGCTTGTATCTGTTTACTTGTTATAAGATATATTACAAAGGCTATGGTACAAACTAAACATTAAATGTTATAAAGGCTTTAATATCTTTAAACAATTATTTATTTGAAATGGAATTTTAAATGAAGTTACTTATATGATTTTAAAAGCTTTTGGCATTTCACATTTCATTAATTTAATTAAATACAAAACTAGAATTATTAATTCTACTAGATCTAAGTATCCATTAGATAAAGGAATCTCCACTTTAATTTAATTTCTCGTTTAATTCCACAGGAGGGCGCTTTTGCGCATGGCCCAGAGAAGACTAACGAAAGATGGGCTAAACAGTGTTAAATACAGTGTGGTGTATATAAATAAGTTACCGCTCTACACTCATATTATGGTTGACATCGGACAAAATCATAAGTGGCGTTTTGAAGGAGGAAGACGTGTTATAATATCATTCTAAGATAAGAAACCTTGGAATCCGTGATGATTGTAAAATAAAGGATAGCTTTATTATTTTATACTTCCATTTTCAAACTCAGGTGCTGGTCTTCAGTATATTGAATGAACTTTGATCTTATTACTTGGACGCCATTCAATAAATGTCGAACAAATCAAAATGTTCATCTTCTGTGCTTGAGTCGAAATTCATATTATATTTTCAATTAAAGATTATAGAAAAAATTCATCTAAATAATAATAATGAAAAGAAAACCAACTGGAAGTTTTGCAGAACAAGCTCACTTTGAGAAAGCTCACGTATGTCTAATAAAATAATAATTTCTTATTAACTTGAATCTGTGGTTACTTTTTCTGTTTTAAAAATACCTTCTGCAACTTAACTTCTATAGTTCACTAGTGACATCTAGTGATCTCATATTTAGTCATTGCTGGATATATCTTTATTGACATTATCATTTTCATAAAACGACTAATTTGAAGCACAATATTTCCAACCTTAAATAAACTACGAATTAATCACATTAGAAATTTTCGGTACTTTAAATTCCATATTCGCAAAGTTCACAAAATATTAATAAAACCCTTTAACATGAGCGCTTTCGAAGAGGCGATCCTTTCGAAAGCGCTCGGGTTATAGGGTTTTTATTTATTTCTATCAAGACTTCTTGAACCTACGTATTTTTCTAACATCATGAGTTCACAAAATATATCATTCTTTGATAAAACTGCTTAAAATTATAATAACAATTAAATATTCAAAGCAGATTTTTTAAAACTTTAGATCTAAGTTACATTATCCATAGAACACATGGCTAGCAATTAAAAAAATATATTTTTATTCATTTAAAATGCTTTGTGCGCCATCATCATATCATGTTATATTATCTAGTAAAAAAATAGTCCAATAACATGAGCATGCGCTAGTGTTTTAAATTGAACTTCAAGTTCATAGAAAATAGCTTCAATTATTTGATTTATGACGTCACACATTTGAATCTAATATAACAAAAATCTAGTCATTTCACGAGGGAAGATCAATGGTCATCTACATTCAAGGTAATAGCTTTATATTCTCAGAATGTTGCTCCTTATTTTTAGAAACTTGTACTCCCATGATCGTAATTTTTTATTATTATTTTTTTGTTAACTTTCGTTTCGTTGGTCTTCCCAAGTTTGTGCGCTTAATCAACAATTTTTTTTCATAAATTGTTCGGCTTACTAATCATGAAACTAACTATGTAAAAGGAACTCGTTTTATTTAGATTTTTAAATTATACCGGAACCGTAATTGCGAGTTTCGCTAGTTGCACAAGAGCAGCTTGATTTAGTTTCTGATATTTCTTCTCAATCTACATATATTTTAGTTATTTTCTAAATCAATAGTATCGACAAGAAGGTACATTAGAAAAAAGCAAAAGTTAACATAAAATATGTTAGCCTATAATTTACATTTTGGATAAGGGTCTCGTTAGGAAGAGTGTCTTAGGAAGAAATAAACAGCTCGGACCCAAGATGTTATTATAAAAAATTCTGATAAAACATCAAACCTACTAAATACATTAAGATAAAGGAATTAAACAGAACAACACCGTGTAATTCTTCGGAATGTTTTAAGAATTATACAGTGACGTAATATTTTAGGCAACTTACTCTTTGACAAACTTGTAAAAATAAATTTCAAAGCAATAGCGACTACCTCTAAGGAACGTGAGAAATAGATAGTTAAATATATGAGATTTGAATTTGATTTATAAAAAATAATTAATTTCTACAGTCGTTTCTCCTTCATTAAATAATCTTATTCCAGTCAATTTACTTTTATTGCACAGAAAATGCGAGAAAAGTTCGAAGTCTCCTTGGTTTTAACTTCTTGATAAATTATTTCACTTTTCATACATGCGAGTATATTATTAACTACTTTAGTTTGTAATACTACTTACTGTCTCATGACAACATATATCTGTTCACGTTCAAGATATTTTGCTTAACAACAAATACTAAAGTCTACGTGTGAGAGAATAAACGTTAATGATTATTTTGATTGAGAATAAACTTTTGTAGCTACAAGTCTGTGATCTCATCAACTTAACTTTGTTTTTGATAACATAGTCAATCGTAGCTCCTACACAGGAAGCTGAGAGGACAAATACATCAGGTTTGATTAAACCTAGGGAAAGATCACATTTACGGGACATTGTCGAAAAAAATTCTGAAGTGCGCCTTATTTCAATATTTGAAAACAAAAAGCTACCGTATTTTTCGGTGTATAAAACGCACTTTTGTACCCCAAAATTTGATATCAAGATCTGCTTGCGTCCTATACACCGAAGGTATGAATAATATATATGTATATATACGATATACACAAACTATGTGTAAATATATTTAAATAGGCATGCGTAGTTTAGTTCAACTGAATGTGTTATTTATAACAATAGTAGTTTTTTTCTTTTAAATACATAACTATTTATAATGCTCCCTAAATAATAAAAAATAAAATACAGTGAAAGCAATGAAGATTTTGTAGGTTTTGAACCAAACTAAATAACAGTAAACCTTTTTTTGATTTACGGTATTTTCTTATTTTGATATTTTGAGCTCTTTTGTGTTTAGAACAATATATACTAATTTTGAAAGTATCAAATTGAATTTCGGTTCAATAAAAATCTTTCAAATGTGACTGTAGCTTTTTTCCCTCAAAACTTTGTCTTCAAAATAAGGGTGCGTCTTATATTCCGAAAAATACGGTATTTAATGTTCACGGGATCTTATGCAGGTAATGTATTGTTGTGTATACGATCAGTAACATAGCGAACAATTTATTAAACATCTTAAGTTAAATTACTTAAAATATGAAAGTATTTATTAGAATTTTTTAAATGAAGGCCTATACCTAGAAACTGATTTACGTAATAGGCTATTCCTACATTTTGAGTTATCCTATTCTACTTGCACAGTCGTGATTACTTGATAAAATATTTTTTGTGTTAGGTTGCACAAAAGGTATGAAGTCCTAAACCTAGAAACTGATTTACGTAATAGGCTGTTCCTTCATTTTGAGTTATCCTATTCTACTTGCACAGTCGTGATTACTTGATAAAATATTTTTTGTGTTAGGTTGCACAAAAGGTTCTGGTTAAACGCTTTTGTTAACAAAGCTACATACACTAATTTGTAAAAATAAGAACGGTGATCGATGATTTTGAATTCCTTAAGAACTTTACATGGCGTATAAAAAATAACAAATCATGAATAAACTAACGACATTCATGCGTTATTTTCAGAATGTATTTGTTATAGCTATTACTATATTATAAGTAGTTTCTCCCTTAACAAATAAAGTACATTATATTGTGGATGTTGACATTTCAAGAAGTGTAAAAAACAACTGTCAACATATTTGTATTTAGTTTTATGCAATTGGAATAAAACAGTTATCAAGAAAACACAAACATAAACTTTATGCTTATTTAATGATTTTAACAGGTAGCAAAAAATGTTTGATTTTGATATTTGATATTAATAGTTGAGAGTAATGTGTGTGTGTAACACGCCAGTTTTAAATTTGTAATAGCTTCATATTTGTTTAAATACTTTTCTGAATCTTGTATAAGAAAAGTTATTTTATCTGATTTTTCTCAATAAAATATTTGATGGTGCAACATTCGACCACGGTAGTTCAGCGACAAGTATGTGGGCTTATAACGCCAAAGATTGGGTTTTGATACCCGCAGTGAGCAGATAACAGATAGCTCATTGTGTAACTTTGTGATTAACAACAACCAAGCAAAAGAAACATTCTCACTGAAATATTAAACTAACATTAACTTTGGTATATACATACTCATAAAAATATAGCAAATTCTAAGTTTCCTTGTTGTTGTTTTTTTTCTTGGGAATACCAATGTATTGTTCAATATAAATTTGCTATAACATTTGTAAAAAAAAATCTTTGAGAACGCGCGTAAAAAGAACAGTAAGTATTTTATTGTACCATAAGTAACAGCAAACTTTTATTATCTTTCTTTGCAAGGGTTTAAGTAAGGCTGGTGAAATAATTTGTTAAATTAAGAAAGTAGAGCGTTATTAGAAGAAGTACCTTCTATAGAACCACAGAAAATAGTTTTATATATGTAGGCTTGAGCTGAGTATCCAGTTACTGCAGCAACGGAACTTGGGGTGTTACTAAAATGTGTAAAGAATTAATGATGTAATCTGATTAGATCATTAGTATTATATGGAATACTATTCCTTTGAATTCAAAAGCAACTTATTTTAGTATTTGATGATGTATGTTGATTTCTGCTGTGTTAATTGGTATTAAATAGAATATCAAAGCAGTAACCAAATTTTGATTTCAATTTCTACACAAATTCGCCACTACGTACGTAAGTTGTAATACATAACAGAACTTTTATGGTGTGTATGTTTTAGGTGAGTCCACCAGTTTATAGCTTGATATCCGAGTTCTCTGCTTACCTTTAATTACTTTCACCAGAGTTTACTTCCCGCTACTAGAAAATCTTTCTTGATGCATTATAAGTTTTATTTTTATTCAATAACTATAAAGGTTTTAATAAAATCAGTTGAGTTTGCCATCTTCAACCGAATATGTAGAAAAAGGAAAGTCAAATACAAATGTTATTTTATGGATTTATGCGCGATTCCAAATTCTAGGTCAACTATCATTATTTTTACTTTTACATACGACAGTATAAAATGAAACAGAAACAATCAGAATGAAATTAAGCATAACTGAAACGCTTAATGGGACCAACAACAAACAAACTAATATAAGGTATTTCCTACTATATAAGTCACAAGAATAAATTACATCCCTAGAGTAGAAAATTATATTATTACTTTTGTTACAGTAAAATACAGGCCGAAACAATCTGTTAATTCTCTCAAAACCAGGCTTGTGTATTTTCATTCGTTATTATTTAGATTTTCTTATAGGCAAAGGTAATCATTTTAGTGAAAGAGTATATATATAGATAAAATATGGAAAGAAATAACTTATTTGTTGAATAAATGGAGAAACTAAAGTATTTAAAATATATATACACGCACGAGAAAACTTTCTTTCCTCCGAATTGATCTTTTTAAACAATTAAGTTAACATTAACATAGAAGCAAATGACATTACTGTGGGTGGTTGGTGTACCTTTTCAAAAGCTTTAAACGTTGCGCCATCTGGGTGAACATATAAACACTACCACAGAGGTCTAAAACAGATTTGCAATATCACAAACTCCTATAACAATATGAAGGATTATTAAATAGTCACAGTACTCGATGCTACTTAGTATAATAACAAAAT